CCCCCCAGAACCAGGGATTGAACTCAGACCCTTGCGCTTGCCAGGGAAGCGCTTATTCTACTGAGCCATCTCCCTGGCCACATACAAATATATTTTTATTTGTTATTGTTTGTTTTATTTTTGTACTGGGGATTGAACTCAGAACCTTGTACTTGCCAGGTAGGCACTGTGCTGCTGAGCTATATTCCTGGCCACAAATATACTTTTATTAGTGCCTGATAGTTTTACAAATATTGGGTTACAACACATACATTTTCATCATATCCACCCCCTCATTCCTCTGTCTTCCTTCACCTTCTACCTTTTCCTTCCTCTCATTCCCCTCTTGTTTAGTAATAGCAGACTTTCTTTTCATGTCATTTTTCAGATTGCACATATCAGAGAAAACATGCAATAGTTGTTTTTCTCACGGTGGCTTTTTAGGTTTTTTAAAAAATTTTATGTATTTGGTACATGGTACAGGGTCTCATTACACAGCTCAGACCTCAGACACATAGCGATCCTCTTGTTTTCAACCTCCCCAGCATTGGGATTACACGTGTGCACCACCATCCCCGGATTGGATCACCGGCTCAGCACACCCAGGGGAACGGGCGGTGCAGCATGTGGTACTTGGGATCAAACCCCAGTCCCTGCACTTGCCAAAGCAGGTGCTTAGTTCACTGAGGTATCTCACTAGCCCTGCTTTTTAGTTTTTTTTAGAACTCTCCATAGTGATTTCCATAAAGGCTGTACTAATTTGTATTTCCTCCCTGGATCCTTGCTAGAGTTTTATTGCTTTCTGTATTCTTAATGATAGCTATTCTGACTGGGGTAAGATGGAATCTCAATGAAGTTTTGACTACCACTTCCCCAATGCCTCACAATGCTGAACATACTTACTGGTCATTTCTATTTCTTTTTTAATTTTTAATTTTTTGAATACAGGGTCTCGCTACACAGTTCGGACTCATAGTGATCCTTCTGTCTCAGCCTCCCTGGCACTGGGATTACAGGTGTGCGTCACCACACCCAGTTTCGGTGGCTAGCACTGTTTCTTACTATTTACCTTTTTATTTTACTCTTTATATTTTTTGGTTTCTCAGATAAAAGAAACCAGATAATAGGTAAGTTTGTGTCTATTTCATTTCACTTAACACTATGGTCTCAAGGTGCATCCATTTTCTTACAAATGACTGATATTTGTCCTTTATGGCAAGTACGCCATTGTGTATATATACCACAATGTCTTTATTCATTTATTGATGGAGATATATACCACTTCAAAAATGTAGTCATTGAGAAATGTGCTGCTATAAACATGAGTATGCATAAATCACTGTAATAGGACATCTTTAACTCTTTTGATTTCCAAATTAACTGTACTAGTTTATATTTCCACCAACAGTGTAGACGAATTCCTTGATAGCTGATCTTTCTGGAGTAAGATGGAATCTCAGTGTTGTTTTAATCTGTGTTTCTCTAAAGGCCAGATATGACTGACATATTTTGATGTATTTATTGGACATTGCACATCTTCTGAGAAGTATCTATTCAATTCAGTGGCTGAATTTTTGATTGGGTCTTTTACTTTGGAGGTATTTTTTTTCAATTCTATATATTAGTCTTCTGTAAGGAGATGACTAAATTTTTTCACTCTGTAGTTTCTCTTCATTCCATTGGTTGTCTGTTTGCTCTGCAGAAGAATCTTAATTTGATATAGTGGTAATCCCATTTGGTGATTCTTGATATTATTTCTTGTGCAATTTTGAACTATGTTCAAAAAGTCCTCATCTATACCTATATCTTCAAGAGTTTTTGCCTTTTGAAGGCAAAAACTAGCAGGCTGTTTCTGGTTTGGGTGGGTTGTGGTTTTTTTTGTTTGTTTGTTTGGTTTTTTTGCATTTTTAGGGAAGGTTCTACAGGGTATTCAGGGTCTCACTACTAGATTGGACTTGTAGTGACCTGCCTGTTTACAGCCTCCCAAGAGCTGGGATTACAGGTATGCACCACCATGCCTAGTCTCAACTGTAGTCTCAGCGCAACCCAGGGGTGGGGCCAGCACAGCAGGCCCAGGAATCCAACCCCTGGCCCTGTGCCTGCTTGCAGGCACTTTAATCCGCTGAGCTATTTGGCCGGCCCTGTTTTAATATTTAGATCTTTGATTCATTTTAGTTTATGACATGATAAGAGATATGGGTCAATCTTCTAAACATGTATAGAAAGTTTTCCCAGCACCATTTGCTAAAGAGGCTACTTTTCCTCTGGTGTGCGTTTGTAACCACTTTTGTCAATGATTCGATGGCTAAATGTAGTTGGGGATGCTTATGCCCACTCTAATTTGTTCCACTGAGCTGCATAACTTCTTCTTGTGCTAGTATCATGCTATTTTATCACTATCACTTTGTAATATGAGTTGAAGTCTTAAGATTATGATGTCTCCTGCTTTGCTCTTGTTCTCAAGGATTGCTTTTGCTACTCTTGGCCTCTTCTGATACCATATCAATTTTAGGATTGTTTTCTTTCTTTCTTTTTTCTTTTTGGTATTTTAGGGTAAGATGTACAGGGTATTTAGGGTCTCACTACTAGACCAGACTTGTAGTGATCCGTCTGTTTACAGTGTACCAGGAGCTGGGATTACAGGTGCACGTTACCACGCCCAGTCTTAATCGCAGTCTCAGCACACCCCGTGGGGGGGGGGCAGGGCACACAGCAGGCCCAGACATTGAACCCCTGGCTCCTGCACCTGCTTGCAGGCACTTTAATCCACTGATCTATTTGGCTAGCCCTAGGATTTTTCTCTATAGTCTATGAAGAAAGCTGTTAGTATTTTGATTGGGATTGCATTAAATCTAATTATCAGTTTTATAAACATGGCCATTTTGACAATATTGTTTATGCTTATTCAAGTACAGGAGATATTGTTCCACTTTTTGATATTGTCTTATATCTCCTTTATCAGAGTACTATAATTTTTATTGTAGAGATCTTTTACTTCTTTGGTTAGGTTCATAACTAAGTATTTAATTTTTCTAGAAGCTATCATAAATAGTACTGTTTCCATAATTTTTTTCTTGGTTGTCTCATTATTGATATATAGGCTCCAAGGTATATATTTGGCCTCTGTAGCTATATGGGTTTGTAGCTATATGGGTTTGTTTCTATGTCTTCCATTGTATTCCACTGTTTTTTTTTTTTTGTGTGTGTGTGTGTCAATTTCTAAGTCAGTATATTCTGTAGTGCTTTTACTGTAGCTTTGTGGCATAATACACAATTGAGTATTGTGATGCCTTAATTGTGTACTATTATTGCCTTTCCCTTTTTACTTAGAATTGCTTTGAATATTCTGGGTCTTTTGCATTTCCAGATGAATGTTAGGACTGTGAAGAATGTCTTTACAATTTTATAGGAATTGCACTCAATCTGTAGATTGCTTTTGGTAACATGAACATTTTAACAATATTAATTCTGCTAATCCACAGACATTGAGAAGTCTTCCCAAATTCTTGTGTCTTCAATTTCTTTCTTCACTGTTTTTGTTTTGTTTTGTTTTTTTAATTTTCACTGTGAATGTCTTTAGTCTCTTTGGTTAGGTTGATTCTGGGTATTTTATTTTTTAAGTCACTGTATATGGAATTATTTTCCTGATTTATTTGTCAGCTAGTCCATTATTGGTGCAAAGAGAAAAGCTATCGTCTCATACTATTGGTTTTATAACCTTGGTACAATTATCTTCAAAAATTGTTTTGAAAATATAAGCTAAAGTTGAGGCCATTTCACATTTTGAGACAAACTCTCGCTATGTAGTTCAGGCTAGTCTTGGGCTAAC